CTCTGACTCCAACTATCTGCATGTCCTCCCTCACTGCATCCATATATCTCCTCTTTGGCCTTCCTCTTTGTCTCCTACCTGGTAGCTCCATCTCTAACATTCTTCTAATGACCTCATTCCTGATCTTGTCCATTCTTGTAACTCCTAAAGAGACTCTTAGCATCTTTATCTCTGCCACCTCCAGCTCCGCCTCCTGTCTTCTGCCTATTGCTACCGTCTCTAAACTATACCTCATGGCTGGTCTCACCACCATCATGTAAACCTTTCCCTTCACCTTAGCTGACACTCTTCTGTCACAGATCACTCCTGACACTTTTCTCCAGCTCTTCCGTCCTACCTGTACTTTATTCTTCACCTCTCTTCCACAGTCTCCTCTGCTTTGAACAGTTGATCCTAAGTACTATGCTCCTTGTAACCTCACTATTTCACTGTTCTCCCTTTTGTTTACACACATGTACTTTGTCTTGCTGCGACTGACATTCATTCGTCTTCTTTCTAGTGCAAACCTCCACCTCTCTAGCTTCTCTTCTAGCTGCTGCCTACTCTCACTACAGATCACAATGTCATCTGCAAACATCATAGTCCATGGGAATTCCTGTCTGACCTCATCTGTCAATCTGTCCATCACCAAAGCAAACAAGAAGGGGCTCTGGGCCGATCCTTGATGTAGTCCCACCTCCACCTTGAAGTCATCTGTCCTTCTAACAGCACACCTCACCACTGTTGTACTATTCTCATACATGTCCTGCACCAAACTAACATACTTCTCTGCCACTTGTCCGTCTCTAAAATTCTGTTAAACAACCTAGTCAGGAAATCTACCGGCACTTCTCCTAAACACTTCCATACTTCAACTTGGTCATCGGGACCAACTGATGAATGGGTTTTCTAACTCCTAATAGTCTCTGGTTCCTCGTTTCTACTTTCCCTTTCATTTTCCTCATTCAACAACTCCTCAAAGTATTCCTTCCATCTTCTCAGCACACTTTCCTCACTTGTGATTACATTCCCCTCTCTGTCCTTAATCAACCTCACCTGCTGTACATCCTTCCCAGCTTGATTTCTCTGTCTCGCCAATCTATACAACTCCTTTTCTCCTTCCTTTGTGTCCAAACTCTCATACAACTCCTCATATGCCTTTTGTTTGGCCTTGGCCACTTCCCTCTTCACCTCCCTTGTCCTCTCGTTGTACTCCAGTTTGTTCTCTTCTGTCCTGTCACTATCCAATCTCTTCTTCGCTAATCTCTTTCTCTGCACACTCTCCTGGATCTCCTCATTCCACCACCAGGTCTCTTTGTCCTCCTTTCTCTGCCCAGAGGACATACCTAGCACCTTCCTACCTGTTTCCCTAATCACTGCAGCTGTAGTCTCCCAATCATCTGGGAATTCCTCAACACGGCCCAGAACTGCCCTTACTTCTTTCCTGAAGTCTTCACAACATGTCTCTTTCCTTAGTTTCCACCACTTGATCTGCTCTGTTTTCACTCTCTTCTTTTTTTTTCACCTCCATCGTCATTTTGCACACTACCATTCTATGTTGATTGGCTACACTCTCACCTTCCACCGCCTTACAGTCTCTAATCTCCCTCAGATTACATCTTCTACATAGAATATAATCTATCTGTGTGGACCTGCCTCCACTCTTGTACGTCACCCTGTGTTCTTCTTTCTTATTTGGAAATAGATGTTTACCACAGCCATTTCCAATCTCTACACAAAATCTACCACTGCCTGTCCTTCCAGGTTTCTCTCCCTAACACCAAACCTACCTATCACTTCCTCATCTCCTCTGTTCCCTTCCCCCACATAACCATTAAGTCTGCTCCAATCACCACTCTCTCTCCCCTGGGGATACTCTGTATCATCCAATCCAGCTCCTTCCAGAACTTCTCCTTTTCCTCCAACTCACAGCCCACCTGTGGGGCATAACCACTAACAACATTTATCATCACTCCTTCTATTTCTACCTTCACACACATCTCTACCTTCACCTCTACTCAATTTCTCTTCCAATCTGAACCATGATAAAAGTTCCAAACTTCAGACCAACACTTCTATTCTTCCTCTTTTCGTTGTTAACCCGGGCCTCGACCGTTCCGGTATGGAAATCGTTTTAATGATTCGCATATATGATTTGCCTAAAAGTTTTACGCCGGATGCCCTTCTTGACGCAATCCTCACCATTTATCCGGGCTTGGGACCGGCACTATAAAACACTGATTCGTGGACACTAGTGGCTGGTTTCTTTAAACATAATAATAAAGAAAATAATAAAAATAAGAGGCTTCATCAGTGCTGTAGCAGCCAGCAATGTCATGATAAAGAATTAAATTAAATTTTAATTTAATTGTATATATTTCATATATTTTTCATATATATATGCTATTAGTTAAAGAAAACATGAGTGTACATGTCTTTATGGTGTGGGTAGGGTAGGGTTTAATTTTTAAATTCTCATTGGTCCTACTGCTGTAGAGACTGCTGCACTGAGAGAAAGACATGGTTACTAAGTTACAAGGTTTATGTTCAGGTTTAAATATTGGATTCCCTTTCACTCCACTGGTTGTATTGACCTTGAATTAAAGATCTGTGACGTTCAAATTCTATGGTTTATGCTATGCATGACTAGTCTGTGGGAGAATGTGTTTAATATGTCAAATACCTAGTCTTTAATTTTCTCTTTTTGTCTTTTATTTAGTTGTCAAGGAGATCACAGAGACTAACAGCAGGGCGCTTTGGAGTACTAATAAATAACCGTAATCAATAAGTACTTGGGTTTGTGATCAGACTGTTCTGAGAAAAAATAATCTTCAAACCTTTGAGGCTGATACTTTCAGTTTATCTGTGTTTTTTGTGTGCTTTGATCTGTGTTTTGTCTTTGTCTTTGCTGCCCCTCTACATCTGCTTTCTAAACCGCCATGGGAGCACGCCCCCTCCTTCGAAACCACTGCAATTCTGAGCAAGTCTGTTTATTATAATAATAATAATAATTATTATTATTACATTTATTGCATTATTTTAAGATAGAGATTATTCTGTAACGTATGTGTAACAGTTCTGCAACAAGAAGCTGCAGCTGTGGTCAGGGGTAAAAGATGATCTTCGTGTGTTACTGAAGAGCAATGACTGAGTGCATAGGATGAGGAAGCCATGGTAGAAAACAAAAACCGTTGCAGCTGAAAAATTGTCCAGATCTGTGCTTGGTCTTAACCACCAACAAACAAAATGATGAGTCAACCTCCTTCAATGAGAGAAGTGGAAGAAAAAACGTCCATGCATGCACCAAACATCTGCTGCTAGGATGCATTTCTGTGAGCATGTAAATAAACTTCAAGTGAAAACGGAAACCTGGTTCAGAGAGACAGTTAATTCTGTTCTGTCGCATTTATAGAAATAAGAAAGGTTTTAGCTATTCCCTATAAACTGTAAAGTACTCACCAAGAGTAAACTGTGGCTTTACTCCTGCTGAGAAGCTTTAAGACTTCTGCAGCCTGCGCTTCCTTTTTGGTTGTTCTTCTTCTTCACTGTCAGAGAATGTACGGTCCACTGGGACACCATGACACTCAAGATTTCGACCTACGCAACACAAATAAGCATACAAGAAAACAACTGTTAGAAAACTGTGTCCTGTACAGTCTTTTTATTGAGACAGCTCTGGACTGCAGGCAGGTCAGCCACCCAGAGAGACAGTTAGTTTAAAAAGCAAATTTTGTTGATGTTGGGACATACCTCTCTTAAAAAAAAATCAAACATTTGTTGTATTCTGTGTTGTCATGGGTCACTACAGAGGTCATCCCCATAGTGGTACTACAGAGGTTTTTACATTGGATGTTCTTCCTTACAAAACCCAACCTGTGGTTTAAAGAGTCGTGGTATCTTTTCTGATGGTAGTTGGGCGTCTAGCCCCTGAAAGTGGTTTGTTTTATAACTATAATTGTTGGTAACAGGTTCTTCAAATGCAGATTTACACATATGAATCATGCTTGGTGACTTTTAACACATTCTTGGAATGACTTTGGTGGTTCTTTTCCCAAAGCTCAAGTTCTCAATTTTCATCAGCTGAACCCATCCTCAATTTGTAGCAGTTGCAGAACATTTTTCTTCAGATGACCTGGATAACGTCACACCTTAAAGGCCACTTCTGGTGGAGTTTTATCAAATACAGGGATCTGACATTCCACACAAGCCTGGTCACAGTCAGGTTATAATGGTTGATATACAGGCAGACAAACCAACACACCTGTTTGACCTTAAACACAGCTGCTAGCCTCATCCACAGATGGACAGATCGATCACTTCAGGTAGATAATCGAAGTCTTTGAAGAATTCAGATAAAGTGAAATAAAGGTAAAACTCACATTAATAAAATTATTCTGAATATTCTTAAGTAAAACATTTAATCATATGGTATGTCAATTGACACTGTGCTCAGGCCTGTCTGATCTGTTAGAACCCAACAAGAAGGTTGAGAAACACTGCCTGAAGCCACGACCTCACTCTTCTCCCTTCACTCTGCTTCATCCATCTAAGTCTCTGGAGGAATTGCCCAGAGATCACTGCACTACAGTGGGTGATCAATTTCCTGTGTTGCCACTCTCAGATGTCAGACCTGAAGGCAGAAGGTCACAGGGAGGGTTTCTTCTTTTGTCTCTACTTCTCCTCAGTTACTCTTTCTTATCAGGTGTATTTTAAAAGGTTTTAACCCAGAGACCTTTGGTCACTTTAACTGTGACTGAGTCGTGTGCTGACTAACAGTCAGATTGTTACAGATAACAATGAGGTTTTATGTTCTCAGATCACCAGCAGTGAGAGAGTAGTGAATAAATGTCCCTCAGTTCAGTTTGGTAGGCTACTACTAGATTTTAGAGCTACAAAAGACTCAAGTAATTCATGTGACAGGCACACATGTGCACAGCAGTCTCAATCATACCTGACAGAGTATAAAATATGAATGTTTGTTTAAAAACATATTTAAACGGCAGATTTGATTTTTTATTAACATTTTGTGACAGCCGTAGGAAATGCATGTCTCGTTTCAGCACCATGCTGACGGCCAAAAGAGGGAACGCCTAGAGACTGACGTGAGGGACGGCTGATTAACTGTAAATACTACAGCACTCACACACATACACACCAACAGTGACTAAAATGCAAAGCATTTCTAGAAAATATGGTGCGAATCCATCAAAGCCCGCAGATAAGATTGTTGGTCGGTGGTTTTTACAGAAACACAAGGAAGCACAGTCACACAGTTCTGGACCATATGCAACACTTACTTACAACGCTTACGTGTGTAAGCCAAGACCCACCCTGAGCAATCTACAACCTTCACTCGGTCTTAACTAAAGCCAGAATGGGAGTATGTGTGTGTGTGTGTGTGTGTGCCAAAATCTAAGACCTCCTACAGTGTGTGACTTCAGAGTGTGAGGTAAATGTATTTCCCCCAGGGTTGCCTTGGGTTTAGTTTCTAACACAGATAAAGTGTGGGAGAGATAAAGTCTGTGGGATATCACAGCAGATCACTGTGCACTGTGGACTTAGAGCAGGGTGTATGACTCAGCAGATGTGACATCACGCCCAGTCCGTGTGACGCAGGAAGTGGAAGACCACCTCTCAGTGGAGCGTGTTGAAGCAATCATGGTGGAGTCTGCCACATGGGTTTATGACAAGGGTTTCCCAGAACCCAGCTACCCAAGGGTGTGTGCTCTGCCCCTGTCTGCTTTTAAGTTTACATTTAACCTCCTCCTTACATAATCAATTACATTTGACTGTCGAGTTTATTGGGCAGTAAAATTAGTTTAAGGAAAAAGTAAAGAGTTTCTTTAGGGTTACGATCATTATTGAGTCACACAGTGACCTATGACATCACAGTGAGGTACCGGGAAAGGGCAAAAATTTTACATGTTCGATAATTGCACCCCTCAGTCCCGTAACAAACTGTGTAAATGTGGAGAGAAATCAGTTGTTATTACTTGTGTTACTGTAAAGTGTGACAAACATGAAGGACTGGAAACCTCTGTTTAAATTAAATGCAACACATGCAGAAAAAGGTGCATTCAAAATGTTTTCAACCAGATATAAAATAAAAAACAATTATAATTTTTCACATTTTTTTCTTCTGGTAAATTGAGCTTTTTATGTGTTTAATACTGAGATAGAGCTGTGGACCGAGTTAACAACAATTAAGTCAGTCACATTCTGAGAGACTGGAGTACTGGGAAAACCAGGACCAAGTGTGGAGCCTGTTCCTCAAAGAGATGACCACTAAAATATGTATGTCTAACCTTTATGACAAACTCTTTTGAATCCGGACTGAATCCATATTTGCTCCGGTCAGTCATGCAGAATCAGTGTCACACAGGTAATGTTTCCTGAATGATAATAATATTAACTGTTAAGTCTGTGAATATGAGCGAAGAAATCTTATAAACTAATTCTGTTTTGATCTTCATGAACATGGATGTATGCAAAAACAGGAAAATCTTGCTATCTATACTTAATGGCTTAATGTGCCTAATTATCTGACTATGGCTGGTCAAAGACAAAGCAAAAGATTCAAATCTCTTAAATGTAACTGAAATCATGAGATTTAAAAAGGCATTTAAAATATAAGCAGTTATTATTATTATTATTATAAATATTTTGATCATGAAAATAAAATCTCTCTGATCAACATGTAGAATAGTCATCATGTCCAGCAACATATGTGTATAATTGTGCTTTGGGTTTAACCTTTCATACATTATGAGTCATAAACTATGTTTCTTCCAGTTAGTGCACGTAATGTCTTAGTTATAAACTGCTCTTATTGTGCCTCCATAGCCTTCTTTACGTAATCACAGGGCAGAGACAGATGCTAAAATCTGTTTGTTATCAATAGAGTTGTTGAGATATACTGTATCATGGTGCAAGTGAAACGTTTTGGAACTTTTGTTAGTAAAGGTCATTGTCTCAATGATGTAGCGTTGATATACCTGTGATATAGATGGTGGGCTCCTGTGAAGGATGGACGCTCGGCGTCGCCACTTCTCCTTGGTCTTGACTTCCATCATCTTCTTCAACATCAGTGGAGTCGCCATCACTGAAACAACGAATTAAGGAAAGAGTTACGTGGACTAATTCAGGGTATGCTAAACATGTGGAAAAACAAAGAAAAATATCATGACACAAGTGAATATCCATCAAAAAGAAAACACAGCATCCAATTTTACACTACTGGCAAAACCCTTCAGTTATCCTAATATCACTGGCCGCAAGGGATGCAGTCAAAGCCAGGTCTATGAGAAGCAACAATGAGTAAACTCTTCCATCTAAGGCCTCTTACATGGTGGGTACATAACATGAGCTAGTATAAAAAAAGAAAAAGAAAACAAACAATTAGGCTATTGTTCTGCTGAGGCCAAATCTGTTGCAGATGAATTCTCAGAGCACAAAGAAGTGTATAACCAGAACTTTAAATTAATCATAAATCTTTTTTTTTTTAATCATAAAATTGTACTGTACCGTGGACAAAAGAAAACACAACTGGAAACACGTCAAAAACTCCCCATTATCTACTTGTATAAGCTTGCCAACAGCCATGCACAATGGTGCTAGCTGGACTATTACTTACATACAATTGAATTATTACCTTATTAAGATATATTTTTGCATGTGTACCACATAAAGAAATTTAGAGAAGGTGCTGCTAAAACCGAGGCAAGGAGGACAAAGGACAAAAGAGTCTAGGATGCAGCAAAGTTAGTCTAACAGTAGTGACTGTGTGTGTAAAAAAACAAATAAAAAATGAGCATTGACCAGACAACAGCAGGTCAAAGAAAGTCACTGCTGTGTATTATAAGTAAGGTCAGTTTGTTCTGTTTAGGACCTGAGCAGAACATTCAGTCTTACTCATAAGGGCAAAGTAATTTTTTTAGCACCCAACTAATAAATACTAAGGCATGACCGAGACCTGTGTCTTGAATTCTGTAAATAGATCAGTATTTCATCTGTATTTGTCAGCTCCTTTTAGGGGTCACCTTTTTATTCTAGGCCCAACTTCATCTCTTGTCCTTCATTCAAGTATATTCTTATAAATTAATGTCCCATTTTCAAATGTTCTAAGCTGTCTTGGTGGCATTTGAAAACATATGCCTTAATAATTAATCATTTGGATTTTTAAATTCATGTCTGTGTTAAGTAATAAGTCTTTGTCTAGAGCAGGTATCCAATTATTGATTCTTAATACCATCCATCCATCCATCTTCATCTGCTTATCCGTTACTGGGTCGCAGGGCCAGCAGTCTCTATGACCACCACCCAAATCACATTGCACCGTACCAACCCCTCTGAACCTTCCTGTGGGTGGTGAGTCCACTAGAAGGTATTAACTGCCCTAACCAGGATTCAAACTTGCCCAGGAGGTGAAGCCTGGGGTTCCACACCAATGACAGAGACATTGACTCTGGGCCAAAGCGCCACCTCTTAATCCCATTTCACTTTTTATTTATTTTAGAACAAAGAATGGTGGATGGACAGTAAAATTATTGCATATACAGTGCCCAAGTAATTTCACAAATTAATTATCACACTTAAAGCGATAATTTTGACAACTCTACTAAAAGTCCACAGTTTGTAGAATTGCTCTAACCTTTGTCTGGTTTCCACATCTCTCTGCTGAACGGTCTGTTGGAGCTGATGCAGTCTCTCCTGCAGTCCTCGGATTTTTGCCTTCTTTTCATTCAGTATCTTGACAAAGCGTGTGTACAGGTCTTGCTCCAATGTTTCCTTATTGTCAACCAGCTGTTGTAAACTGCAGGGGAAATCAATATTAAAAATGTGCAAATGTGAACTTTTCAGGAAAAAACAACTTATACAAGTTTTTCTCTCTTTAGAGAAATGTTTCACACACACACACACACACACACACAAAAACAGATAAAAAGGTCAACAGAAAAATTCAGTGAAACTCAGCCAGTTACCGGAAAACACGAGCACAGTTTGCAACACTGGGCAGAGCCCTCCACCCCTCCCTAATGGATGACTAGTAATGATGTCATACTGGATTATTGTTATGGATGTTAACAACTGGCAACAGAACGTATCTGGCTTGCATGCAACACGGATGTTGAACAAACAAACGCCAGCACTAAACATCAGAAGAAAATAACTTCTGCTTTATAAATACATTTTAATTCACCAACACAGTTTCTTTCTTTCGCCTTCTTACTCTACAAGAATATGCTGGTGCTCCTTTTTCAGTCTGTGGTTCTCCTCCATCAGCTTCTTGTTTTTGGACTCCAAATGTGTGTTGCGCTTTATGGACTGGCTAATGATCTCCTGGTTTAACTCCAGTGGGTCTGGAGCTGCTTGGAGGTCCACAGAGCCTAAGTGTACCTGAAAAGGATTTAAAAAAAAATAAAATAATAATAATCACGATATCCAGTGACCAGGGATTTCTTTTAAAACAATCCTTTTCTTCTGCAAGCATGTGTGGTGCAGTAGTAACAAAAGATAATACCTAAAGATAAAACTCCACAGGATGTGACTTCATATTGTGAAGTACAAGTGCTCAAAGGTTTTTTGATTAGCTTCTCAAACTTGTTCCACAGGCCCTCCTTTGTAGATACAGCCTCGTCCTACTGTGATTGACAGCTGACCCAAGTGTACTTTATTCCTGGTGGGGAATCTCGTCTCTTAAACAACCCATTTAAATGATTTCTGAAGAAAATAATGTTTCTATTAAGATAATTTTCTATAAACCATTACTGCTAAACAGGCTACCTCCAGTTGAAACTACAGGACAGTAACCAAGACAGAATGTATGTAAACATTTATTAGATGATTTGAATTGTATGTCTAAATGTAATTAACATGTGTACTTTTTATTTATTTATACTGAGATCTCGTATTATTTGTCAACTGGTAACGGCAAAGCACTATGGGAATACCCCACTTTGACAGGTGACAGTTAACTGTCAGGGACCTCTGGATGCTTCCCTTTAAGCAAAGCTGACTGAGTTGACAACATGACAGATTTAAGGCACGTTTCCCAGGTTCCAGCTGTGGATCCTCTAGGAAAATCAGATAATGAATGACATGAGAAACAGGCCAGATTTTAGGGCCAGAAGCTCCAGAGGGTTCTGAAATACAAACAGTAAAAAAAAAAAGACTGAGCACTTGCACCTAATCGCTATTCAAAGTGCCAGTGCAAAATGGAAGTGCAACAAACCATTACATCAATGAGAGACCTTTTTTAGATGATGAGAAGATTTTCGTCAGTCTAGGAGAAGCACAGGATGAATTCAGTGGTTGGGTGTAAACTATCCAAGTGAGCACACAGTTTCCTCTTTGTCGGGGTTTGTCGAAGGCTCTTTGGAATCACAACCAGGCTTTAGAAGAAATAAAACATTCCTCATTCGGTTTGCATTTTGCCACTTAGTCAGCAGGGCTGGGGCATTTCAGCTCACTTCAGAAATTTTTTTTTTCTTTTTTTTTTCAAAGTTTAGTTGGTGTGTGTAAAATTGATTCTACTAATCAGCTCCCAAAGTTTAAAATGGCAGAATATTTATTCATTTATAGAAAACAACATTCAAAGAAAGATAATAATAATTAAAGTAATATTAAATAGTGTTCATCTACAGCGTTTCTTCTCATCAAGCTTGACTCGTAAAACTTTTCCAAATGGGAGCACAATCATTCTCTGCCCGTTGCCTTGGAGATTTTCCCATTCACAAACACACACAAAAATAGACAGACCGACAGTGGACTATTCCTCAAAATGCACTGGGAAACCAGAAGGTGAAGCTGCTAAACCTTTACCGGGCTGAATTGAGGTCACGGAACCACTAATAAAGCCTCTATCTTCAAAAGCGCTCATTAAATACTTGTCATTTTTGTCTCAGGTTGATACTGTCCTGGCAGGTCACACAGCTGTTTTCTGCACCGCTGGTCGTGAACATGTCCCTGTAAGTGGACGTTTGCTTTGTGTCACTCCCACAGCAACACCCCCCCCACACACACACCTATACCTGCCGTCGTCTATTAATCCTCCTCGTGGTCAGTATTTTTATTCCTATCCTAAGTCTTTCCTTCCAAGAAAGTCTTCTTCTGTTGTCTGTAAATCTTTACAATTACTGATATTTTGGTGAAAAAGTTAATAATACTTCATGATTATTCATAATTCACACAACCTATCTCCAGAGACCACCCAGGATCAAATGGGGGACAAGGTTGCAGAGAACTCATAAAAATCTAGAGTAACATCAGGATGTCACAGTGATCCAGTGCAGGCTTCTCCCAGGAGTTTAGAGAACATTTGTGTGACACAGAGACTCATGAATTCTCGACGAGTAGACGAATACGCAATGCGGTGTTTGTGCCAGATGGTGGACTTTTAAGAGTGCAACCAGTTTAGGCTGAAGAACGGCCAAGATGCGTGTTGTTAGGGCTGTTTGAACAACGTCCACTTCAAAGATGGACCCAGTTGCGCCCAACACTACAGTCTGTATGCAGAGCAGCAGAGTTTGTGAGGAGTGATTACTGTGAAGGCTTTGATCTTTACTCCTCTAAAACCCTCCTCTACCTTTTCTCGTTTATCTGTCATCTGGCTGTAAATTAGCCACAGCAGGGAGGATAATGTTAAGGCTTTGTACAGTCAAACCCTGAGCGCACTTATATTTCCGCACCTTCACAAACGCTTTAATGTTCCATATTAATATTACAATTCTCTTTGCACAAAAATCACTGAGACTTGGTCAAACTTTGTCATCAAGGCTCCACCCTCCCACCACTGTTCAGGACCATAAATCTTCCTGACAGGCACATTAGTAATCAAACACAGCCCATATCAAGATAAAAAACGACCAAAACACAACCCTTATTTAACAAAATAACAATGAAAAATACCACTGAACTGCTGTTTATTCAACTTCCTATGTCTTTTAATACTTAAGCTTGTGTTTTGGTTTCTGGACTTTTAGGGACTGAAATAAAATCTGCTGCAGTAAACGTGAATTCCACATCAGCAAACATTTATCTTCAGTTTACTGTCGAGCATAAGAAAAAAGGGTATAAATCTGTACATGAAGCCCCACACGCTATGTCTAACAAATCGGTCATTACAGAAAAAAAAAAACAAAACTCCATTTTAGGTTTAAAGACTCTTGGATAGTTAAAGGTCAGCTTGCATGCTTCTACCACCTCTGCCAAGGTGTGGGAGGTCAGACTGTTTGTCTGTGATGCACAACCCACTGCCACATTTTTCTGTTTTTCCTCCAGTCAGAAAACACACAGAATAAATGGTTCAGTTTTAGATATTTCATTTATTTCATGTAGAAGTTGACCTTCTGTGTCTGAACCCAAATCAACAAAAATATGATAATAATCAAAACCTCTCATGATTAATCAGTCTCATAATACAATGTGGTCCAATGTCTGAGTGTGTGGTCCTACTGTTTGTTTGTGTGTCTATCTGCAAACAGCTAGAAAGCGCATAAGGTCAAACCCATGGAGAATGACAACGTGGTGTAGAGGACGAGGCCGGATAAATGCAGCCGGAGAGAAAGTGATTCCATACGTCACTGTGGCTCCAACCTACACATGGCTGTTCTTATCGAACGCTCCAACATAATGATGAAGACCAAACACATTATTTACGACCAAAAGATCAACTTTATGTAGATCTAACATTCAGACCTTCTAGCAACCAAGCAGAAATGTTGCCTAATAATATAATCAATGATTGAACGTGTCATTTTACAATGCATGTGTACGCATCAGTAAAAAAGCCAGGCAGGGTTCAGCACTGCTGTAATGCAACTGCAATATTAATAAATCATGACAAAGACTTTGCACTATTTATTCGATTAATATTGACTTTTTCATCACTGGCACAACCGTACCAAAAAGTGCCGCCAATAGCTCTTGCTAATTGTTCGTTTTTGGTATTGAGGAAGTAAATCCATCATTCATTAAATATAGGCTTCAGTTTCTAAATCTGTCAAAGCACCACTTAAGATAAAGAGACATGTCCGTAGTCTGACACAGCACACTCAAGGTCAAATACAGTTGTCCTTTCCTTTATCCCCACGTCTCTGAATTTTGAAAACAACTATTGTGTCCAAGAAAACAGGGAAGTGAGTGGGCGAGCACAGTGGGCATGATGACAAAGAGACAGTGTTCAAAGGTGGGCAGCGTGGGAAGGGTGGGCATCAACTGGAGACGTACTGGTCCAATCAATTCCCTCATCTGACATGCAGAGGCGTAAGTCCAGATAGAGAGCAGGAAGTCAGGGGAGACAGTTGCCAGTCCATCTCTGATAACATAGATGTTCCTAACAAGAACAGGAATGCTGGGCTATCACACAGTACCAAAGAGAGACAGGAGATAGTGGCAAAAAATACTTTCTCCCTTAGCCATCTGCAGTTATCAGTATAACGTTAAGAGACATCTTCAGGATGACAGGAATACATTATTTAGATTTTGTCATATGTCACGTAATTTTGAGAAGTTTTTTTTTTTTAAATGAAGAACTCCAGTGAACTGGAAGATGACGGTAGTGACAGCAAGATGGATTTTGTTAGCCTTATTTAAATAAGATGAACAACAACTTTCCAGACAGAGAGAGCAGAACAGAAACTGAACTGCATCTGTAGGAGTCATTATTTTTTTTTACTAAGGGTAAAATGATGACTGTTTAAATTATTCTGTTTTTCCTCCTTACTTTGGCAACTTTATCGTTAAGTCTCTCCATGTCTTCCATCCAGGCTTTTAACATTCATTATAAGCTTACACCCTACAACAAGGGTTGTACTTAATAACTACGGTATGTAAGTGAAATAAGTGTAATGTCGGAAGTGAGAAAGGAAACATCTAGAAAAATCTTTGTGTCCTTTTCATACTTTATTCAGCAGTTTGTGTTCATTGTTGTCTGATTCTCCTCTTCGCTAAATGTTCTTGTATATAAGTTTCCTACTTTCCTGCAGGGGGTGCTATAAATACAATGCCCGATGAGAACAGGGAGCCTGTTTAGTGATAATGTTATATAAACAGTTAACTATACAAAACCATACAATGTCCATACAAT